GCCTATAAGTCGCCCTCCTCCCGGGCATAAACAAACCTCGCCTGGCTCCGCGCTCCGGCTCGGGAGCACTCGCCCATCCTCGCGGCTCTCCTCGTCCGCTCTGGGCGTCTCAGCCTAGCTCCGGCTCCTTTTACCTTTTTTCTCTACCTTCGGTAAGCCCGACGCCCTCTTCTTGCCAGGCAGGGAGGGATCGGTCGCCCGTGAGTGCTGCTGCAGCTCCTGGACCGCCCTTTGTGGTCCCTCCGAGCTGCGAGTGCTTGGGGAACCCGTGGCACTAGCTCGAGGAGGGGCTTTGGGGCGCGGGCACTGCTGGAATAGAGTGTTTCGATTTGGAGGGAGGAGAAAAAAGGTCCCTGCTCAGCTTTCCCCCAGCTGAGGAAGTGGGATTCTGAGGGTCGGGGAGGGGCGGAGGAGAGCCGCGCGGGGAACACCTTGATCGCGCTTCCCGAGGCCCTTCCAGAGCGCAGCTGGCGCCATGGGTCGGGAGGCGCGCTGGAAATGGGAGGTGGAGGAGGGACTTGGAGTGTGTGTGTGTGTGTGTGTGTGTGGGGTGTGTCCCTGGGGTGGGGTGTCTGCGGAAGGAGAGATTGAGCGTCCGTGTGTAAAAAGGAGGTGGGGAGGGGTGAGGCGCTGGGGCTGAGGCTGGAGAAGGGGGCGTGGGTACGTCTGGTTCCCAGACTGTGCCCAGAACCAGTGTGCGTCTGAGGGGCGGGGGCCGATTCAGACTAGAAGCCCGAGTGGGGCCCGCGCTCGTGTGTGTGTATGTGTGTGGGGGGGAGGGTCCGAGGTGTGTTACAGCGCGTGCGACACGCGCAGGAGCGCGGCTGGGCAGGGTGCGTCCCCCCGACGTGGCCCAGGTTGGGCGCCGTGGCAGCTCAGAAGAGGTGGCCTGGGCCTGGGGGTCCTGTGGGCATCTGGCGGCCCTGCGCTGGCTGGGGCTTGGAGTGGCGTCATTTTCGCCTCCGCCCATCCTCCCCCGCTTTCCTTCTCTCCCCTGCCTCCGGGGCCAGCCTCTCCTGCCCTCGAGGGAGGAGAACAGCTGGAGTTGCTCCGACGTTCCCGGGAGATCCGCCGCGGTCTCTGATTCACCCTTGGGCAGGGCGAGTGCGACGTGGTGGGCTCCGGGGGAAACGCGCTGTCCCCGTTTGGGTCAAATTAGTGGCTGACGCTGGGATTTAGTGGATCTTTCCCTTACTCCCCACCACCTCCCCCACTCTCCCGTCTGTCGCCTCTGCTGTCAGATGTTCCTGTGGGTCAGAGGCAGCACCGGTCTGTGGCTTGAAAGGGGGAGGTGCCTGGCAGCTGGTGGGGGAGGGCCCGGTTATCTTGTGCGGAAAACGAACTCTTCTTCACAGATGTCCCGGGCACTTCAGTTTGTTTGGTTCCTTTGAGTTACTAGGAAAGATGAAAGATTAGAAGACAGTTCAGCCAGTGGCCACGCAGGAGGGCTTTAGCCTCCCGGTAATGTCCCTCAGCCATATTTCACCTTCTCCTAATGAACAAAATCTCTAAACACAAACTGTGTTCTTCCTGTGAAAAATGCAGTTTCAAGACAAATCTTCCGCCCCGACCTCCTCCTATGTACAAATTCCTGAGTCTTTACTGAGTTTCACAAACATGGATGGAAATAAGCAATGTGCAGAGAATGCAAACCCCAGCACCGGCCTGCTCGGGGCCCACCAGCCAGGGAGTGACTGAGGTGAAGGTGCAGAGCACAGCCCTCTGTGTCGGTAAGTGCCGGGGTGGTATAGGGTGGGAGTCAGGGGAGTAGGTGAGGTAAGGTGGTCAGGAAGTGATGGGGAACCTCCAAAGAGACAGTGCTCTGGTATAAGGAGCAAAACCTGGGCTGTCTCCAGACCTGTGACTTCTTAGCTTTCTGGGACCGTGTCTCCCATTAGAGAGTGAGAAGAAAGGCGTTGCCTGCCTCGCCCTGTGCCCTGGCACCTGACCCTGGGCCAGGCAGTTGGGAGGAGATGGAATACAGACATGGAATGAATTGAAAGGCTCTTTCCCTTCTGCCCTACTCCACTCTGATCCCACAGCTAGAGTCCCAAGGAGGCAGTTGACCTTCTGGGTGGTAACGTGTGACTGGGCTTTCCAAGGAGACCTCGGAGCATCTGTTGGGGTCTCCTCTCCTGAGAAGCAAGTCCGGGATCACTAATGGTTGGTTTGATCATTTGGAATAGAATTAAAAACTCACCCAAGTTCCTGGTCCGATTCCTTCCCATTATACAGATGGAAACTGAGGTCCAGAGACAGGGAACAACTTGCCAAGGACGAGCTAAAACTGGACATCGGCTCTCTAGAACCTTTTCCGGCAGTTTCCTGGTTGGGACTCAAGGTGGTGCAAGGAGGTCTCAGTCTTGATTTGTGTCCCTCTGCTGTCAGAGGGATAAAAATAAATTGGATCTCCACTGAGTTTCTAGTGAGGAAACTTTCCAGTCAAAATGTGGGTGATTGGTTGATTTTAAGTGCAGATTGCATGTTCTTTAAAGATTAGTAGAATCAGTCTAGTGAGAAAGGGCTACAGCCCTGCTAAGTGGTGGTGGATGGAGTTTGGGCCACCCCCTCCAGGCTGGACCACAGAACTCAGAACAGCTGGGATCCCCTCTTCTTCCCTCAATGCCCTGAAATCTGGCCCAGCTGCCTTGGTGTGGACGGGGAAGAAAGATCACATTGTGTTTTTCTGATGGCCTGAAGCTGCCGTCCTTCCTTGGGATCTCACTCCAGAGATTCCTATCCAAGGCATGACTCAAAAGGCCCTGGGCTTCAGAAGGGAAGCCAAGATGATGACTCAGCATCTAAGATTCTAGCAAGGAGGGGGCCTGACTCAGGCAGAGGGGCCAGGGTGGGGCAGGACCTCTCTCTCCAGATCAGCTGCATCACCTCTGATACTTGCAGGAGCTCTGCCTGGGCTGGATTGGGACCGCTGAATGGATGAGAAAACCAAAGCCAAGACTGTTGAAGGGGCTTGGCTGTGGCCACATGACTAAAAGGGGGTGAGCCAGGCTTAGGATCCAGAGAGTCAGACTTCAAAGCCTTTGTTCTTTGTCATGTCAGCATGTTGGGGTGACTGCAGAAAGGCTTGAGTGAAAAGTACAGGGTGGCAATCAGGAGCTTTAGGCCTCAGCTTCCTCCTCTGTAAAATGGGAATAACAGGCACCGTCTCACCGGGATGTGTGAATATTAATAGAACTAATCCATGGAAGGAGCTCAGACCTGGACTCGGCATGTGGGGACACCAGGTGGGAGTTTGCTGTCAATCATTTCCACAAATGACATTCTCAAGGCATTTTCTTGGCAATCAGTGTCAGAGACCTTTGTTCTAAACTTACCCAGGTCAGTGGGAGTGCCTCCAAATGCCAGGCTCATGGTTTGCTTCTTCAAGTTTTTCCAAAAAGCTAGGCTTATGCAGATTTCACAAAAATATAATGGGACTCTTGTCTGAAATGCAGATTTCCAGGCCTGGTGGATCTGGGATAGGCCAGGAATCTGCATTGTTTCAAAGCTCCCTGGGCTGGGTTGGGAGTAGGGTGTACTGAAAGAAGCCAGAGTAGAGGATATCTGCTCCAGAATGATGGACAGGGGAGACAAATAGGACAGCAGTGACTTTTTTTTCCCAAACCTCTAGGGTCCGGGGACACAGCGCTCCATCAGCAGCTCTTATCTATCTAAAGTGCCTTGTGATTTCAGGGCATGCCCTCATTCAGTTGAGCTAGGAGACATCTTTGCCATTTCTCAGGTCAGAAAACTGAGGCTCGGGCAGGTAACTTGCTTGTCCAGAATCAAATGATGGGATCCTGTTCGAAGTGAGCCATCCCAGTCTTTCCCATACAGTGTTGCCCTTTGAGGTTGTCCATACCCTTCTGGAGCATGAACTTGGGTTCTTGGACTCAACTCAGGCTGCCCTTTCTGCCTCCCTGATCTCAGTCTGGTCCCAGCCCCCGCCCTTCCACTTGCTCTTTAAGTTCAGGGACAGAGATAGATGGGACGGTCATCCCTGCTGCAGAGCCTGAAATGGTTAATTCCCTGAGCATTCACTTGGCCTCTGCTGTGCCAGCCCAGGCTGTTTGGAGGAGAGTGTGCAGGGCAGGCCGGGGACTCTGATCTGGTGTGCGTGAATCCCAGTTCTCCAGGGTAGGCGCCTTATGAGAAGAGACCCAGGAAGTCCTGGGGAGTCTGACTTGGCATTGCAGATCAGATTACAGAATTCAGGTCCCCACACAGGTCTCTCTCTGACCCAGTCTTTGACTTTCATGCCGAATATCTACTGAAGACCTCCCAACCCTGCCCGCCAGGCTCCATCTCCAGGCATCTCCAGTCCAGCGGGATGTTCCTCCAACCCAAGTGTTGGGAAATGAGGCTCATTAGCAGTCTGGGGATCTCATCTTTTGTTTTATAGATTCCCACCCCCTCTCCTGCCCCACCTAAACCTGTGGAAACCTCTGTCCAAGTATAAATTTTACACCCATGTGCAGCTCTGCTCAAAGAGGTGGATAGGGCCCAGGGCTCCATCCTGTTCCCCCATCTTGACCCCCAACTCCACCCTGCTGGCTTTGAGAAGGTTCTGAGCAGCACTTTCGGGATGTGAGTGTGAGGCATTCTTAATAGGGAGGTAATTCTGAAGACTCTCCCAGCTGGGAACCCTCGCCTCCTCCCCTCTCTCATTAATCATTGAACTCACCTCCTTCTCCGGAAAGCCCTCCCTGGTTTTCCCCTCCAGGCAGGCAAGCTGGGTTGCACGCCCTTCTTGGATCATTCTGGGCTGTGTTTCCTTTTTTACCCTTTTTTCCCTGGAGACCTGAGAGCCTGGGACTTAACAGGCACTCAATTAACGTTGGTCCAAAAGAGACCTCCATTTATTAAGGAAATAACTTGGGTCATCTTGTGTGGGAAAGATTAACAGATCCTCCAGAGGACAGAAGCAGCAAGACCAATTCGGAGAAGAATCTTGTCAGCGTGGCGATCATCCCATCTTGGGGACAAAGGGTTTTGTAGGACGCATCTCCATCCATGTCCTTTGCTAGTATTGGCTCTGTCTGTGTGCTTTCAACAAATGATGTCACAGACCAGCCGGTGCCGCTCATGCTTCTCCCATAGATTCACAGAAAAATCCGCTAACCCAACCAGCATCCTCCTTCGGACTTCCTTT